TAGTGGCATGGCAAAAGGAAAAAAATACTATAATAGCAGTATCAACGGATAACTCAAAATCAGTCTTCAAAATCAACTAGAGCACATGATGACCAGACATACATGTTTTAGAACTATTTTGCCCTTTACTGCCAAGTGATGAAGTGTCTTTATCAGCGTTGCCATTGTGGTAAAAATATATTGCAAAAACATTGTCCTTTTTTTAGTTTTGGGAGCGATGTGAAAACGAATCTCATATACACTCAGTTGACTGATATTCGATAATCCACTTTTTATATTATGTTTCTTCGCCAAGGTTTCAAGTCTAGCGTTCTGTCTCTGAGGCAAGTGCACACAGGCCAAGTCCGAGCATCCTTGATGGATTACTGACGTCAGTACTCACAAAGCTTGGTGCTTAGTTTCTTTGATTTTCGTAAGAGTCAGCTATTTAAAATACGCTTACTTCACAACTTTCAAGATATCCCAAAGTTGAAACAACAGTGGTTATTTCGGAACACAAATAACAGAATTGTGTTACACGCTACTAGTTACATTAGAGGTGAGGTGAGGTGAACTTGGGTTTAACGTCGTGCTTGAGAATATTTCGTTCATACGACGACGTGCATGCGTGTGTATGCGTATGTGCGGCTGCTTGTACTAGGCCAGACGTAAGCTGGTTTTATAGTGCTAACCCACTGAGATACCACGCCGCAGTGAAGCATGAATACCCCACTCAGACACACTATACTGATTCCGAGCCGACCAGTCCTTGTTGTACCCATTAATGCCGAGCGCCAGGCAGGGACCAACAAGTACCATATTCTAACGTCCTTTTGTATGACGCGGTCGGGGATCGAACCCGCGACCTTCCGCTCTCCGGGCGGACGCTCTAACCACTACACCACGGAGGCGGTCAATATTCCGGCTTAGAATAACATCGAGCAGCACGTAGCGAGGGAATTCCGAACTGGAAGAGGACCCGTAAAACAACTAACCTATGCAGGCTGTAACGAGGGGATTCCGTGATCGAATAGGCCCCGTGAAACCTATGCTGGTTGTAGCGAGGGAATTCCGAGTTGAAAGAGGGCCCGTCAACACCATGCTGGTTGTAGCGAGGGGATTCTTGGTTGCAATAGACCCCGACCCACCTATGCTGGTTGTAACAAGGGGCCTCCGTGATCGATTAGGCCCCCGGAAACCAATGCTGGTGGTAGCGAGGGGATTCCGTGTTGATGAGGACCCGTCAAACCGATGCTTGTTGTGCCTAGCAGATTCCAGGTTGAATTATCCCCAATGAACGTGGTGGTAAAAGGGTATTCCTAGTTACAATAAGCTCCGAGAAACGTTTGCTGGTTGTAGGGAGAGTGGAATAGGCCCTACGGAACATTGCTTGTCAAAGGACTTCGAACCCCAAAGAAGTGATTGGTTATTGACAGTCCGCCTTCATAAAATGCTCGGTTGAACATCGTCCTTCAAACGTGTATGCAAAATTTATGATAAAGAAATTCGATTTTTCAGATGTGTTTTAACATTCAAGGCCTCAGTCATGCTTTTAAGAAATGACCTACTGACCTATCAGTAACAAGAAGGATGTCAGATGGAAGTCCCTATTTTTTCTTGCACCATACACTCCCGTGTTTTCAGGTTGAGAAGCCTTTGCATATATTTATGGCGATAGCCACTGGTGGAACAGGATACGCTCACCTCTACCACAAAACTTGGAATCATCACTATTTGACAGTGACTGATAAACACCGTGTGACAATAAATTTTAACTCACTCACCCACTATAAACACCGATTGATGATATAGTCCGCACTGGACAATCCACGCAGCTTTTAGCGGATATATTTGATGGACATGAAAAGGATTTGGTCGCATTTATTTGGAATGGAAATCGCCTTTGATTGCAAAGTCCATGGTCGTTATGGAGAGTAAATTGTTCATCAATCGAAATTCATTATAGAAAATCACCCTCAGCATATTTCACGAGGCATATAATCAATAAACGGCCATACCCTTTGTACGATTTCGACGACATTATAATCATTTGTTTATGAATCGAAAATAGTGATGACACCAAGGGTTCGCGAAACAGCGAGTCTATCAAAGGCCAAATACTCGCAGCCTACTTCCAATGTATCCCGCAGTGATATACAACTAAACTTACCGACAGGGTGGGCGTGTTTCCGCTCAGAACATTAATCAATTGTAGACGAATTGTGATGGTCTCCCTGTGGGGGTATCCGATTATACACATTATAGAATTACTGGGCACAGAGAGGCGTTGGCTTATGCCTTGGGGGTTACCATTTAAAGTACCCTATGTAAAAAAACCAGTCGCACAGTGGCTCTATCAAAACCTATTCCTGGAGCTATAAGTCCATAACAAATTTATCTTACTACTGTGTCTGTCATTTGAAAAAAAACACCTGACGGACATTGAGAAGGGAAGAGTTTGTTTGTCGCCATATTGCCTGGAAAGCTCCGTTTCACTTCTCTGTGCACTGGGTACCTCTTACGCCAGTGCTAAGGGAAATAGTACATATTACGCGATGCGATACAAGGAGATTGAATTCCAGATATTGGGAAGATCGACAAAATATATGTTGCCATAATGTCGGGGAATATATTGTTCAACCATGTACTGCCTGGTACATGCAATTTTATGAAACCGTTGTTGTCGTTGCTGTTATCACGTATTTTACCGAATATAGTGATGAAACGATTTCGTATCTTACCGAGACGGCAAAGATTAGAGACTCTAAAGACTATCACCAAATCCAGTTTATAACAGAAACTCTTAAAAAAAACTTCATTTTTAATTTACGATTGAAAAAAATGGGAGATATATCGGAGTCAATCAATGTTGATATGATAATAATGAATGTTTTGAGAGAGCATCACCACTTGCACTTCCTTATGACCATAGTTGTTTGTACAGTAATCGCTCTTGAAAGATGATTGGTGTATGGCATAAAATTTGCATGTGTACGATTTTCATTTTCAAACAAAACATGAACGGCTAGAAACAAACTCTAGCAACTGTGTGATGCAAGATGATTGTCAAACTTAATGGCCTACTGTGATTTATCAACCGTTTTGAAAGTCGTCACAGTAAAGAATGACACCCCATGCACGTGTATGGGGCCAGTGCGTTGTGCACGTGCATCTCCTGCGTTGTGTTTAGGGGTGGTGATAAAGAGAAATCGTGGAGGGTTCATAAGATGTCTGTCTTTGAAAAGTTTGTTAACGTTTATACTTCAATCCAAATTGAAAGTTCAGGTTACATTTTGTAAGAGTATACTTGCCGTGAATACAATACATTCTCTTTAGTTTTGAGACCCACGAACTGGTCTTCAGCAATCCATGGTTGTCGTAAGAGGCGATCGGGGGGTCAGGCTCGCTGACTTGGTTGACACATGTCATGGTATCCCAGTTGCTTAAATCGATGCTCATGCTGTTGATCACTGTCCGTCAGATAGCTGGAATATTGCTAAGTGCGGCGTTAAACACATACCAACCAACGCTTTGACCCCTTTAATCCGGACAGTTGTAATGAGGGCAGGACATATGTATTTATAACCAAAGGGGACTTAACTTAACTTAACACCTTGATTCGTTAAGTGCGCTAAGTCAACCTTTAACGGAGTTATATAAATCAGTGTCATTTATATATTAACAAATGTCAATGAACAAAGACATCAGTGGCTACGTAAATGATATATATGAATGACTGTTAATATACTTCCAATCAAAAGTTTAGACTCACTTAAAACACTCACTGTATGTTATCTATCTATATAAATATGGTTACATCGAATATTGATTTCTCCACTAACTTAGGGGAACCGACTGCAAACCTTATGCAGATGAATTGCACGAGGATCATGCATCGAACTGCTGAAAAGCATGTGCAAATATCGTACATGTAAACAGCTGCGTTTTGCTGCAAAAGTTTCTTAAGAATTCGCCAATTTTTCACAACGTTACGAATTTGTTTTACAATACATCAGTTCATGTGTAAACAGTACCTTTAAACAGTATGGGATATTTTGCAAAATTTAGTTTAGAACTGTTGCCTGAAGTAAGTGGCTATATTTACACTAGTGAGTCTAAACTTTTTATGGGAAGTATAGAATCAGACGCTAGCGACCCTTTGCTTTACGTCAAAAATGTCAAGATTCGTAACTTAAGCAGTACATGTTCTTTAGGTTTTCTTTCTTACTTTCGTGTGTTCAAAACAACAGTCAACCCCCTTGAATATCACGTCTTTGGCACCATACGCTTGGCATAAGGAGACGTCGTGCTTGCAAATGCCATCGGACCAGACGATTCCGCACCGTCGGGGCACGAAGTCTTCCACCAGTTGCCTGTTGCCACCAGTCGCTCGTGAGAGTGGCAGTTTGCAACTGATTTCTTAATACTATCGTTCTGACAAATCTGTCCTGGGCTGTATGGTGCATCCATCATCGCCTTACGTGTTTGTAGGTATCGGATTCACAAACCGTTAATGACGATTGAGAGCGGCGGTTTGGGAAACAATATTCCGATATATGCCCACTTGCAACAAGCCCATGGCACGTAAACGTTTCGCACGCTGTAAACGTTGCATTTAATCCTGTTAATTCCTAAGTGTTAAATATATTGCATTTGAGCGCTTTGTTTCAAGAAAATAATGTCCATCCGTTTACAACTGAGGCTCATTGACATTGGCACACTACATCCTGCAGGTGCTTCTCCACTATCACAATATCGTTTTGTTCGGTAGCTTGATTTCTTGATATTGTCACATAGATCACTTAATTTCTTTGCCAGCAGTTGGCGTATGTACTTTCACCTCCTAACACCATATCTCCTACCTTTTTTCATCGTGTATAGATATTTTGAATCCGTTGTCTGCATGGTGTAATATATTAGTTTCCCCATGAGATGTGTAATTGTAAAAAGATGTTCCCATTTTAGGTAAGATGCCTGATTTAGCTACCATCAATCTGACGGCTACTATTCTTTCTTTACAGAAGCCGATAATTAGTTTGAACGATGGCACCGTCCCTGCCGGATGTCCTGGAGACATTTCCACATTTCTCTGAAAGACCCCCAGAGAAGAGGCCTTCCGCCATCCTGGCAGCAGACGACACTCAACAAGCAGACGACATAATATGATGGCCGCCATATTGGAAACAGTGTTAAGTAACGTGTCAAAGGTCTCTAACCTCTCCAGTGCAGTAAACACTGAAGATGTGACAATGGTTGGAGCCAACGATACAACAGCAGGTGATCCCGACGTGTCACCCTTTTACGTGACAATGAGACGACTACAGACAGTTCTCATTCCCTTGATTTGTTCATTTGGAATTTGTGGAAATGTTTTGGCTGCTGGGACCTTCTTGAGCTCGACTCTGCGAGGGACATCATGTTGTTTGTATTTGGCAGCCAAAACTATAAGCGATATTGGTTTTCTTTTGTCTCTCTTCGTCGTATGGTTGTATCGAGTCCATGTGCCCATCCTAAATACCCACGGAATATGCCAGACGACAGTGTTCCTGAGCTACGTTTGTGGTTTTCTGTCGGTATGGTTTGTAGTGATTATAACCATCGAAAACTTCATACGAATATCTCAACCCTGGCGAATTCCGTTATTTTGCAGTCAGAGAAAGGCGATTATGTTAATTTGTTTATTGGTGATATTTACTTGTTTACTGTACTCATTTTCGCTGTGGACAACTGGAATAGTCAAAGACGAAAATCCGAAATGCCAGTCTCTCAAAAAATTTCAGAATATTGCACTTTCAATGACTTATGTCGACACTTGTCTGACACTTATCTTGCCCACTATTCTCATGTTTTTTCTTGTTCTTGCCATAATGATCAGTGCACTTCAAGCTTACAAACGGAAAATGCGTCTTCGCGTTGTGGCTCAAAATGGAAACGGAAAATTATCTGCAAGCACACCAGAAGGCAAGGTTAGCCGATTTCTTTTCGCTGTGTCCATCATATTCCTCTTTTTACACACACCCAGTCACGTGATTCGGATCAAGCTCGTGATATTAAACTATTTCTATCATCAAGCGCCATCCATTCATGATCTTGTTTTTCAGAGAGTATTTGAGACATTTTATTACTTTAACTTTTCACTGAACTGTTTAATTTACTTGCTCTTCGGGGAAAACTTTCGAAGAGTGTTCAAGCAAATCTACATGAGCAGGTGCAAGAGGAAAAATATGGCCGAAGTTCAGGAAGCAAATAACATGTCACCCTTGATGACAACGGGGTGGTCATTCACCGAAGCATCATGCATTGACCAAGAAGCAAGCACCTGACCTCATCCTGGCCACTGGTCAGCCTGTCACTGTTTCCTCCATATTCATCCACGAAGCAAGGAAACCATCCCCTTGCAAACTAACAGTAAGCATGCGTTGACTCTTAAACCAACGCCCAGATCTAGTGGTGACTAATTCATTTGCTGACGTATATCTAAGGTGACGTGAAGATTCACAGCATGGAAAACCTCAAATGATTGCGTTGGAAAGAAAGTGTGTTGATTTCACAAAAACAAGATTGCGGTGTGCTGCTACTTACTCTTAACAAAATAGTACACAGTATATTATGTGACAGATTCCCAATCGGAACACTCTGTGAAAGTGTCAAACAATCATGACATCTGTGATACAATGCTGTGAGAACCTTGCATGAACGCCTCTGTGGAGATGAATGACCCTTAATATCATTAAGACCATTGTGTGAACTGATGGTAACCTGTTACTCAGAATGATCTAGACGTTTACGAATCATCCTCCTGGGAAATGCAGTGGGGCAGTATATTTTCTATACCCATCAATAACAGGAAAGAATTTGGAGAGAGGATTATTCCACTCATTCATAGCACGAGGAAAACAGGAAAGATAATTGTTTTCATCACAATGTAACCGCACACTGCTCACCAGAATACCACTATATCCTGCCCGGAGCTTCAATAGGATGATCACCTTTTGCAAACTGTAACATGTAATGTGATATTTTGACATTTGAATGACCTTTTACTACGATTCTGTTTGGTCATTTGGAACCAAGTCGTGATCTGTTTACATCCTGATTATGCAACTGAAATACATTGTCTCAGTAGGTGTTCTGTGTTTACGACAGGCTTTTGTAAGGTTCAGTTTGTGTTTGTGTTTTGTCAAATGCTGCTTATGCGCCTTGCTGAAGTATAACCTGTTGATTTACGGTCCTGACATGGCTGCAGGTATTTCTTGTGTATCAGTAAAGGCGGGAAATACTGAGAAAATAACAGCCGAGTTTTCCTGTTAGGTGCTAATAGGCTTCATGTTAATCAGATCTTCTGATATTACCTGGCTTCAAACTCTTTTCAACAGTTTATATTTTCATACGATAATATACACGTGAAGGTCCGGATTAGAATATTGATCTTCAGTATCCCATGCTTGTCGTAAGAGGCGACTAACGGGATCGGGTGGTCAGGCTCGCTGACATGGTTGACACATGTCATCGGTTCCCAATTACGCAGATCGATGTTCTTGCTGTTGGTCACTGGATTGTCTGGTCCAGACTCGATTGTTTACAGACTGCCGCCATATAGCTGGAATATTGCTGAGTGCGGCGTAAAACTGAACTCACTCACTCATATGATAATATACAGCCATGCTGTTTCCTGGACACCAGTGTATCCACCAACATCCGAACCCTTGATGAACTCATTATCTATAGTTGGAGGACATCTTCATTAAAGTTTCATGCAAAATAGAAGATAGTTTCACTGCTTTAACCGACCATGGGAAGTAAAAGTGTGTTTCGTTTCATCTTGCAAATTAAACATGCTGTATGACTAATTATTTTCGGGTGTGAAATAGTTTTGACGAGTAAGGAACTTATTTCATCAGCTGCGTGTCGACTGGCACTTGTGGTAAACCTAAACATACACACGTGCGCTCACACACACACGTGCACTCGCACTCGAATCAGTACCATTCATGTTACTGTTTCCTCACCCAAATGGGGTTGCCGGAATAGGCTTCAGAGATACCTAACAACCAGTGTTGTTATCCTGCAGACAAATTGTATTGGATCGTTTGGGTTTTAGTGGCATATTTGGTTCTGGACCTATTTGTTCCTGCTCCGGTTTGAAAAATGTGTAGACAACTGTATTATAGCTTAATTACTGCTGCGTTAACCAAGAAACAAAATAAACAAACACTGCAACATTGTTGAACTCTATCAATGAATAATGTATTTGTAAATCCCGTACACTCAGTGAGGAAATGCCAAAATATGTTCTGATTTAAATGAGCTTACTTGTGAGATAATGCTGTTATCTTAAGTGAGTGAGTTTGGTTTTACGCCGCTTGTAGCAATATTCCAGCAATATCACGTCGGGGACACCAGAAATGGGCTTCACACACTGTACCCATTTGGGAAATCGAACCTGGGTCTTCGGCGTGACTGACGAACGATTTAAGGCTACTCCGCCGCCCCCTTGAGTTAGTGAGTGATTCAGCTTAACGCCGTTACAGACGATACTTCAGTTTTTACGGTGAATGGGGGAGAAGTGATGCTGGTCTTGTTCTTTAACGTACGTGAAATCACGACCATACATGCCCGGTACTTCTCCATACAACGAAAGGGCCATCAGCAAAATCATGAACGGATGATATGAATATTTATAATGCGCAAATTCAACACCCTAAAGTATGCTCAAAACGTAACATTACTACCCCTGTAGATGGATCACTTGACACTCCTTTTCATTCTCAGCTCCCTGAGACGTATAGAACCGTAGGTGAAAAGAGGCATAGTTCGAACAAAGTCGCTTAAAAAACGAGAGTGACAGGTATTAAGTGTCTGTTAGGTCCGAAGCCTAATACACTCTGTAGCTGGAATATTGCTGAGTGCGGCATAAAACTAAACTCACTCACACACTTGGGAGTCCAAAAGCCGTCGCCCATCTAACTACTATCCGCAACCAACAACTTTGGTTAACAAACTGATTTGTAAAATATGGGCTGTACACAGGACACGCGTCACCAAGATATTTGTAATGTGATATAACAATAACACGGCCATAGCAAAACGAACAAACAGTATACAAACACATGTAGCACATCTGTAGAGAAATAGTATCTGTTTTCTACACATGAGTGGCCATAAATGCCAACATATGCGGGAACCGTTTCGTGGAACACAGATCGCAGTCCGTTTGTAGATAACTGCTCACAGTATGAACACACATGACGAAAAAACACTAAAGGTTTCTGAGGTTCTTGAGGTTCACATAGAAGTTGGTATTCAAGTATAAGACAAAACATTAACGATGTCAACCTCTTTTACGCTATTGAAGTTGACATCCATAATACTTTTGTCTCACAAAGGTTTCTGGACAAACTACTTCTTATGCTTCTTCTTCTTCTTCTTCTTCTTCTTCTTCTTCCTCTCATGGGAATGAATAGCGGATGATTTCGCTCTCGCAGGAGCCCTGTCTTCTGACAAATATTCAGAAAGAAATTTGTTCACTCGATTTGTTCATCGTGTAACTCGGTGGATTTGTCAAGTCAAACAACTGCGGCTGTTATCTTCTCACCGACCCCTTGTTTCCCGCTGGTTATAATGACTGACACTGAAGTGACTGCAGCCGCGTCTCGCTACAGAGACATTGCGTTGCCAGTTGAATACTGTTGTTACTGTTATTTATGACAATATCATGTAATATGTCTATTATATGTTATTGCATTTCAATAAACTATTTCATGTGGGTATTATTTTGTGATATAAACAACGAAATTGCAAGTATTTTGTTTGTAATTATTTGTATTGACATAGATATCTGATAATAGTTACATGTTCTTGCTGAAAGCAAAACAGTTTATGATAGCATACCAGCAATGGCGGAAGGTCGCATGTCCCTCTCCAGAAGTTATTAGCAATTGTGCGTTCAGCCTTGTATGAAAGTGTCACTGCGGAGTGACGTGAGGTTCAATGGGGTTTAGCGTTATGTTCATGATCACTGCACCTATTTGGCGTCGTGAGTGAGTGAGTTTAGTTTTACGCCGCACTCAGTAATATTCCAGCTATATGGCGGCGGTCTGTAAATAATCGGGTCTGGACCAGAAAATCCAGTGATCAATAGCTTGAACATTGATCTACGCAATTGGGATACGATGACATGTGTTAACCAAGTCAGCGAGCCTGACCCCCCGATCCCGTTAGTCGCCTCTTACGTCAAGCATGGGTTACTGAAGATCAGTTCAAACCCGGATCTTCACGGGGTTATGGCGTTGTGGAGGTAGGCGTGCGTTTATGTGTCTGCTTGTATAAGGCAAGACAAATTGCGGTTTTATAGTGCTAGCTCACTGAGAGACAATGCCGTAGTTAAACACGAATAAACAACATAGACACAATGTACTGTCTCCCCTCCACACAGACATTGATTAATTCCCTTAAAAGCGAGCGCCATGCCGGATTACAATTACCATCTTTATACGCCTTTTGATTTGAAGCTCCGGGGATCCGATACTAGGCGTCCGCTCACCAGGCAGATGCTCTGTCCACTACACCAAAGAGGCGAAGCATGCTACATTAACTACAGCATCGATCACTGCAATATTGCCTGGGACGGACCTGCGTCAGTTGTCTCCCTTTGTTGTTGATTCTTTGTTTGTGTGTTGTTTAACGCCGCACTCAGCACTATTCCAGCTGTATGGTCCAGAGACCAACATCATGAGCATCGATCTACACAACTGGGACACAGGTAAGCGCGCCTGACCACGTGTACCCAATCACGCTAGACGTCTTTTACGACAAGCACGGGTTGCTGAACACTAATTGTAACCCGGCTGTTCACGGGTCTCCTGTTATTGAGTGATACAACTTGCTTCAGCAGCAGACGTGTAGCTCCAGCGTAGTTTTACTATCACACATCTCTCCTCATTTCAACATTTTCACGCAGGGTGTTCAGGATGAGTGGTGTAATGGCTTACAACGATGTAGATGATTATATGATAAAGGAGTGGAATGAATGGTGTCGCAACCAATGCAGTTTCAGGTATTACTGTTTTTCACTAATGACGTCCCTGCTTTATGCAATCGTGGGTTAACTTTTGAGACTGAATTTACGCTGAAAACTATTCACATACAAAAAAATTCAAACATTTTGTCAGTCAAAAAGATTTTTAATTATTGCAATTGTTCCACTGCTTCCCATCTTTCTGTTCTTGTCTGTCCATCTTGTATAATGAATGTAAATAATATGAATATACTACGGAGAGGGTGTTCTAAATGGTATAACTTGCACCCAATCCTTTTCTCATTAATAAAATATGCTTAAAACAAACAAACAAAACTATTCACAAAACTGTAGGATGGCTTGAGCTTTCCAATTGTCAACTTTCTCTTTGTGTGAGGCAAGATTGCAGAAACTTCAGTCTTAGACGTCCGTATTACACAATTCTTTAGGTAAAAGAAGTGTAGTATACGTTTTTTCTCCAACGATTCAAAGACCGTTATACGAGTCTTGCTCAAAAGATCAAGGTTACCACGTTCAAGGACTTTCAAATGGTGCAATTGTAGATATGTGGAGGACAATTTCATAGGGACAAAACATGTATGTCCCAAACAATTTACTGTTTTGACTTGAACCATACGCTCCCATGTATTTGTAGGTGAACAATGGACTTGACTTTACATGTGTTTAGGACTGCCGTGGGACCTTCTGCGACCACGTTGTATTATCAACATCTGGTGGTAATCTATATGTTTATCATTCAATGGGAATCGTAACTTTTACGAATCACATGACCCGGGTTCCTGTTTTGTTTGTATTTCCTAATAATATTTTCCTCCTTAAAAGTTCACCGTGACCGTTTGGAACGCGAGATCTGCTTGTATATAGAGTTATGGATTCATTCGACGAAGACAGTAATCACTGATGACTAAGTTTTCCGGATTTCCTGTTTGAACTGAGTGTTTTCCTACGAGTGAGTCCTTGGAGATTAGTGCCGCTAAAGCAATACATTACGACTCGATAGAACAACCAACGAGCTCAACATACACCTGGATTGAACCCAGATCGGCGTCACAAGGGAATAGCTTTACCACATGGCCACCGTCCCAGACTCTCAATTACAGAATCAGCTCGAGTCTGGTGAGGATCGACAAGTATTTCAGTAAAACGTTTTAATTTAGATATGGACACAGATTATATTCACTTACTGGGCGTTGTGCTGACTTGTGCTCGCGAGGTCAGGCTCGCTGACCTGGTTGACACATGTCATCGTATCCCAATTGCGTAGATCGATGCTCATGCTGTTGATCACTGGATTGTCTGGTTCAGACTCGATTATTAACACACCGCCGCCATATTTCTGAAATATTGCTGAGCGCGGCGTTAAACAACAAACCATCCAACCTTACACGCTGAGGCAGCGGGGCAGCCGTGTGGTCAAAGAGTTGGACCTTCAGGGCCTCTGAAAGTCCATTCCTCTTGGCCTCTCCTCGATATAACAAGCAAACATGACAAATAGGGCATCTGAAGGTTAAAAGCTATAGTTAGACGCGATACATACATCGCTTGGTTGAACAAGGAGCAGCATCATGTGTCGGCAAAGCCAGGTAAACCTTGAGCGTGATTTAACCACTGCAGTGTGATGTCCAGAATAACGCTCGGTTCAAGTGTACTTTAGGACGGAGGGCTAAATCCGCGTTGCTCTCTCTGCGTATTATTTGCCATAAGTAGGTCTTCTGCACCTTCTGCCCTTTGATGGAATTGCTCCAGTCGCTAAAAGTATCGGTTGTTTCCTTTTACTAGGTTTCCTGAAACCCGCGCATTTACAATCTGGGGATCAATTACATTGTGCGAACGCTATGTTGTCCCGCCTAATTAGATCATTTACCTCGAGTAGTAGAGCATGGGTGATTTACAGCTTGTATATATGTCCTTTCTGTTTGACATTTGGAAAGACTTTGCTATTTGGTGATTCCCAAGTTGATACTTAAGACTAAACCAGGATTCATTCCGTAAGAGGACTATGTATGAAACCAACAAACAACAAAAATGTGCTGTTATTTACAATTGTATTCTAAAATCAACTAAGTTCACAAATCAGTACAAAGACCTATCTATGGCAGTACAAATTCAGATGCAGCATAATTAGAGAATACGAGTGATTACGGGAAATATGTCCCAAGTGAAATTAATGAACTTCGTGCCTCGTACCTCTTTGGTTATTCTGTTTATTTCCCATTCTGTAAGAGACTCTTTAGGCATTTAGTTGGTGAATACATAAGACAAGTATATGGATGGTAACTTCTTATGTATTGTATAACACAACGTTTTTGGGCCACTTCTTGCCCCTTCTTCTTATAGAGCAGTGAAAAGCTGCAAGGGAACAATAAAACGCAGTCCTGAATGGTCAGCCGTTTTTAAAGACGACGGTACACAATTATGAACATTTGTTAACATTTTGCTGAAACGGACTGTGACCTAGTTTTGGCTCGCATCAGTGTCCTTGTCAGGAACGATAACTCAAAATTTAGTCCGAGTCCCAGGCGACAACAGTTTTCGTTCGCAGCTAAAAAGTTGTTAATGTCATGGTCCAAAACAGGAACAAACCTGTCAAACGTTTTGTTATCGAATGGGGGTATCATATATTGCAGTAAGTCATTTATGAAACTCTCAGGCAAGTGGTGAGATATCGTTTCCGGCAACTCTTTCAGTCTATACCTTGCGACCCCCATTTCACCATGTTCAGTGTTCATCACATACACGTGAAACGAATTTAGTGGTTGTATTATTCTCGTGACACGTCCAGTAATGTCTCCTTCCACCGTGTCCAGGTCATTGACTTTAACAGGGTAGCCATGTTTATTTATATACGATTTTATCAATTTTAGATAATATTTTATTACAAAACATGTTAAGTAAACGACGCCATATTGTTAATGAAGTATGAAATAAAGCATTAAATTAGCCACAAAATCGAAATCCTGTCTTTTTTAAATTGTCGAATCAGTGCGATTACAGCACGATCAATTCATCAATGAATCGATGAAATATTATGAATGAACATAGTGGTGTGAATGTATTTCCGGCATCCAATGAAAATGTACAACTCTACCATCGACCAATCACCGTCGAGAATCAATAAATTGCACACTGTGCAAATATCAAAACAAAAAAGATTTTAAAAAATCCAATTTTCTTTTCAAAATTCAAAAAGATATTACACGGAATCTCCTCACTCGTATGGATAATAATACAAGAGCTGTGAGTATGGCAATTTATAAAGACTGTTATGATAATATTCACCTATCATCAACAGTAATCCAACTTGGAACTAGGCCTGGTAGGAAATACCGATCGCCATACAAAATACTACTGGTCTTCTAGTAACTTGAGATGCAATGTGAGATGAAAGTCAATGGTCACTTCTGTGTATATACACAAGAACAAAATGCTGGAAAATTCTACACTGAAGCTAAGGATTCTGGAAGAAACTTTCCATGTCATTGATTTGTTTGAGTGGCAATGAGGAAGTTGCTCATCCATAAAGTTTTGTCATCTCTTTCCAGGTCGTTCTATACCATTCTCTGGGTGACTGGATATGCCTGTAGAGTTGTAGCACATGTCTTAATATAGAGAAGCACTGACCTTTACTGAATGCACAACGTATATCACTTCCTCAAGATAACTTTCATCTCTGGCCTTTTAAGAACCGAAATAGTAGAAAGTGTTACGTGTTCGTTTATGTGTAGTGATTCAGAACAAGGCACAACAAAAGAGGAGATGAACGATGATCCTTTTTTACTTGAACATCATGGCTGACTACACCATCTAATGACGTAGCACACATATCAAAGGGACGTAACTCGCAATTAGTGCGTTCACTTGCATACCACGTAACATCCCTTTTCCTTTAAAAGGAAAATAGAAAGAACACTTTAGATGAACAGTTATTAACTTTAAACTTTACCAGAACTAAACGTTGACTAGAGGCACTTTAAACGTTGAGTGAGTTGAAAAGGCTTCTTTATCACCACACTTTAACACTCTAGAGTCCATACTAATACTGAGTGATGATACTTAACTGAAACTCAACTCAACCATTTATGAGTTCTTTGGCGTAACTAAAACATCATCCTACTTGGATTAAAAGCTTCAATGGATTAACTTTAACGTTTGAGAATGAGCACTTTACAGTCTATGCATCATATCGCTTTGTTGCTTTCACAACACGGCCGGACCGAGTTCTGTAGGGGAGCACTTGAACTGTCTCTGGAGTGCTCTCAGGAACAGGGTGCTGTTTGCTGACAGGGATGCCAGGAACAACACTAGTTGTTGTCTCGGGAGTGTCATCGGACTGCACATTAACCCCTCCTTCAGAGTGAATAGGAGTGTTGTCTACGGCCTCAGGCTCAGGGTCGTTGTTCACAGGGTTACGCGTCAGGCGTAACTGTTGGCGATTTCTTCTATAGGTCTGCCCAGTCTTGGACATGACAGTGTATGTGCGACTTTTCAACTTAGATTGCACAGTGGCTTGAGTCCATTCTTTTTGTCCATGCTGAATTGGTTGCATTCTGACATGATCGCCTATGTTGAGAGGTGGGAGTGGTTTACCAGAGTATTTTGCGGTTATGTCTGGCAAGCACGTTCATGCGTCTGTCGACCAGGTCGGCTGTGGTGTTGGTCTCAGACAAAGGCTTGAGGTTGGAGACCGGGCTTGGCAGTTGAGTCTTCGTTGAACGTCCAAACAGGCGTTGGGCTGGGCTGGTCTCCATACCTTCAGTAGGAGTATTTCTAATGTTTAAGAGTCCTAGGTAGGGATCTTCTTTAGCTTCTCTGCATTTTCTCATCATTCGCTTAGCGACTTTCACAGCAGCTTCTGCGGCTCCATTCGCCTTGCTGTTCCCGGGACTGGATAGCTCGTGAGCAAGGCCCCATGTTTCACAAAATGTCTTAAACTTCTCACTTGTGAATTGTGGACCGCCATCACTGATGATGACGCGAGGAATGCCATGGCGGGCAAAGTGATGCTTCAGTTTGTGGAGCACTGTTTCTGAGGTAGTGTCTGGTAGGAAGTCTAACTCGAAGAAGTTGCTGTAGTAGTCGGTGGTTACCAAGTAGTTTCTTCCAACTTTTTCCCAGGGGTGATCAGGAATTTCATGCATGTAGAGTGGTTCAGGAGAATGCTTGTCACAAAACTTCTGGCATATGTCACAAGATTCTATGTACTGTCTGATGTCACTTGACATCAGGGGCCAGAAAACTGTACTCTTAGCACGTCCGAGACAAGAGTTGATTCCCATGTGTCCCACATGAATTTTTCTCTTCAGCTCTTCACGCATTGAGGCAGGAATCACAACGCGTGATCCACGGAGAAGGAGACCATCATGCACAGTCAGTTCATCACGATAACTGAAGTAGGTCCTCAGTTCAGGCGAGAGATCATTCTTGATATCAGGCCAGCCTTGCACAATGACGGTCTTGAGTTGAGAGAGTATGTCGTCAGTCAAAGTAGCTGCTTTGATCTGATCAAGGCTGTGGTCTGTGATGTTTGTGTACATCACACTGTTCACCTGTACAGGCTCTAGCTGTGTCTTGTCAGGTAGAGGAGCTCGAGAGAGAGTATCCGCAATTGAAATAGTGGTTCCTGGTTGATACTGGAGGTCAAAGTTGTAGGTTTGAGTTCTGAGTAGGAGACTTTGGAGACGAGTAGGAGCTTTTGACAAAGGTTTTCTCACTATGGCGACAAGAGGCTTGTGATCTGTGATGACAGACACGTGTCGGCCATAAGTATAGTGATGGAATTTCTGTAGGCCGAAGACTACTGCAAGTAGTTCTTTCTCAATTTGCGCATAACGCCTTTCTGCATCAGTTAAAGAGCGACTAGCATATGCGACAGGACGGCCTTCCTGTAATAGCACAGAACCAAGTCCATGTTCACAGGCGTCATTCTCAAGAGTTGCTGGTTTTGCTGGGTCATAGAACGACAATACAGGAGTAGATGAGACTAGAAACTTGACCTTGTCGAAGGAGTCTTGTTGAGACTTGGACCATGTCCAGGGTACATCCTTCTTCGTGAGGTTGCGCATTGCAGTTGTGACTTCAGTCAGGTTTGGGAGAAATTTGGCTACATAGTTCACTAGCCCAAGGAAGCGACGTAGTTCCTCAGTGTTGGAAGGGACAGGCATGTCATGTATGGCCCTGACCTTCTCTGGATCCGACTTGAGTCCGTCTTTCGTGATCACATGACCCATGAATGTGATTTCACTGAGTCTGAGCTCTAACTTGTTGGGGTTAAGTTGAATGTTCTTTTCTCGACATCGAGTAAGGAACTGCTTGAGGTTCTCATCATGGTGATTGACATCTTTTCCATGTATGAGTACGTCGTCGGCGATGCACACTACGCCAGGTAGACCATCTAACGCTTCAGTGAGTTTGCGTTGGAATATCTCAGATGAGACATTCAATCCAAAAGGGAGCCTAAGCCACCTGTACCTCCCGAAACAGGTTTGGAAAGTAGTGATGAAGCTGGATTCTTCATCGAGTACACAATGCCAGTATCCAGATGAGAGATCGGCTTTGGAGAAGACACGAGACTGTCTGAGTTCATGGAGAGTGTCCTCAAGAATGGGAAGAATATAGTGTTCCCGTTGGAGTGCTTTATTGAGTTCTTGTGGGTCAAGACAAATCCTGAGATCACCTGAGCGCTTTTGAGTAATGGCGATTTGGCTTACCCATGGAGTGGGCTGACTGACCGGAGCAATTACACCAAGTTTCTGCATACGATCCAGTTCAGCTTTCAGTTTCGGACGGAGAGCAATCGGCACACGACGAGAGGGCATGACAACAGGGGTCACAGTGTCATCCACAGAGAGATGGACGGTGCCGTCAAAACTACCTAAAGTCCCTTGAAGAACATCTTTGTAGTTGTCCTCAATTTGCACGTAAGACACTCGCTCAATGTTATTCTCATTGAACGACACAAGTCCCATCTGTGTAGCTGCACGTACACCAAGAAGAGGGGTCAACTCATCCTCGACAATTGTGAATTCGACATTGTATTTCTTCATATTAGCTGGGTTGCTTACAGAGAGTCGTATTGACCCAAGTGGAGTAACGTCGGAGTTGTTCCACATCTTGAGATTCTTGGTTGTGGGTTGGAGTTCACCAATCTTGTCTTGAACTACAGTCACAGGTAAAACATTCACAGAAGCTCCAGGATCGATGGTGAAGATGACGTCACAGTCCGCGACTGTCATGCGACACTGAACAGGTCTCTGAGGTTTGGCTTGTACAGAGAATACCCAATCCTCCTCATGATCCAACGAATCATCATTCGATGATTTCACATTATTGACTTTGTGGTTTCTGTTTTTCAAAGAGTCACATTGAGAAGAGTAATGGTTCTTGCGTTTACATTTGGAGCATGTCTTTCCCCATGCTGGACACTGTTCTTTATCATAACGTGAGTATTTCCACAATAAAGACATTCTCTGGTTTGAGCAGATGAGTGACTAGTAGTTTGTTGTCTGTTGTGAGACTGAGAAGAGTTTGAAGAGTGAGGCCTAGCCTTGTTAGCACCTTTCTGACTGTTCTTAGCAGGTCTGTGAGAAACTTTATTCACAAGTTCAGGTCTGAGAACCTTAGATTGAGTAGAGGCATTTTCAGAAGCTTTGCAAATGTCAATACATCTTTCTAGAGTTAAGCCTCGTTCTCTCAACAAAGATTGCTGAGTTGTCTGATCTCTAATCCCTAGCACAAGACGATCTCTAACAATAGAGGGTACACACTCCCTGCAATAGTTGCATGTTTTACAAGATTTCTGATTGCACCATGAAATGATTCAAACGATTCACCTTCCTTCTGACGTCTGTTATTGAAGACAAAACGTTCATATGTTTCATTTACTTCTCCTATTGCAAATGCATCAAACTTTTCAATGATTTCTCCTACAGTCCTTTCCTCTTCAGGAGTAGTAAAGTGAAATCCATTATAGATTTTCAGGGCATCATCACTGAGAGTGTTTAGAATCATGGCAACTTGATACTTGTGAGGATAGTCAGATAGCTTAGTGAGAATGTAGTAGTTTCTCCATTTTTGACGAAAAAACTTCCAAGTTTCGGCAATGTTGGAGTCAAGATTGAAGTTTGGAGGTCTAATTCCGCTAACCGGTTTGAGAACTGGTTGTGCCTGCACTTGATCTACCATATCGGTGAATAGAGAAGAGAGATTGAGTTCACTACACATCCACAAGGACGACGCACGTGGGCCGCGCCAGGGCGAGAGTTCAACACATTACAGTAAGAGAGAGAGTCAAATTTCACTATTGAGAGCGAAATCATACGGGCGAGAGCATTCGTAGTCACCCGCTGCCACCATGTTACGTGTTCGTTTATGTGTAGTGATTCAGAACAAGGCACAACAAAAGAGGAGATGAACGATGATCCTTTTTACTTGAACATCATGGCTGACTACACCAACTAATGACGTAGCACACATATCAAAGGGACGTAACTCGCAATTAGTGCGTTCACTTGCATACCACGTAACAGAAAGGGTTCACGTAGTGCAACATGGCGTCATAATTGAACCTAAAGTCTCCGATATGTATCTCCTTATCAATCGATCTCTCGCTAACCATCTTATTCGATTCTCTGCCTCTCTTCTTGTGTGACCTATGAGTGACCTTACGATAGGATCACAAACCTTGAACTGAATCGATCAAAAACGAGCATTTCATCAAATGATCTGGCAATTCAATTACAAGAGTTATGGGACTGATTCGTGGCAAGTCAGCGTGTTCCTTCAAGGTGGACTAAGAATAGTACCACTGATTCACTGATAAGTCTACTCCCTAGAGTAGATGCATCCGTATTACAAATAGAATCATTTATGTAACTGCTGCAACATTTCTAGAAATACTATTAACTTTAAAACTTTAAATAAAAATTGGTTGTCTCATCCCTTCCAGAAAAATAATATTGAAAAAAAAAAGTTTTGTTTATAATGAATATTTGTGTCTAACAGACATAATCATACTACGATGCGCTTGGCTTGTATGAACATAAGATTGTACCTGTTTTAGGGACCGCGACTTCTGTCAGTACAGTACTTCTGCCACAATACTAGTATGGTTAACAACCACCAGCAACATAGTAGCATATTCTCAAATGGATCAAACTATATGAGAAGTCATCAATCAGACTTGTAGAACTAACTACTTCCGCAGTCTCCAATTATCCTTCTGTTGTGTATGTCCTTGGCTATATGTCTTCTTTTCTGTCAACCGTGGGTCAGTTGTGTTTACATCGGCACACCTTTCCTTATCCGCAAAGAGGCATCTGCAGAGGAGGCAACCAGAGGACAAACAGTAAACAGGCCTAATCATGCTAGCGGATGTGCCATTTGTCTGGCCGATCATGTTTAGAGTGCGAAAATAATACACATGTCAGATGTGTGGAGGCATTGCAATTATATCACTGATATTTACAGGTAATTGTCCACCGGTGTATAATTTGTGTGTTTGTTTTGGCAAACGGGCATTAGTCGATATCTCAGGTATTCGAGAGATACAGCTTTGTGCCATAAATGAAGGCAGAAATGACCGCGGACAGTTTAAAGAAAACGATTCGTTATTTCGGCGCATTGTTGTACCGCGCTGTGTTACCTTTACCGATATTGGGTATATTTTTAGATAGTGGATCACGTGCGCGTCACGTGACCGTAACTTCCGGTTAGAATGTCGTCTGCTTGTTTACATTCACGGCGGTAAACAAGATGCCTCCAAAACGAAAAGAATTGGACATTGGCGTAAAAGAATCAATAGTAAAATTGTATGAGCACGGGAAGAAACCTGCAAATATTGCAGAATTACTTGATGTATCGTCATCAACTGTCTATCATGTGATTCATCGGTATACATCGCGTGGTTCTGTGGAAAACAAGCCAAGAACGGGAAGGAAGAAAATTTTGACTCAGAGGGACTCGCGCAAAATTTTTCGGATTTTAAAAAATTCTCGTCGGCGATCTTTGAAGGATATTACCAACATATTTAATGAGGACAACAACAAGCATGTGTCATACAGAACTGTTCAAAGAAAATTGTATTCTGAAGGATTTCATAGACGTGTAATTCGAAAGAAAATCAGAATCAGGAAAGTGAACATTAAAAATAGATTAGCATGGTGCAGGGGAAACTTACATCGATCTGTGGACACATGTTGGAACAAAGTCATATTTAGTGATGAGTGTAAAGTGATCATTGATGGAAAGGAAAAAGTATTCATTTGGAGAAAAGTTGGTGAACAGTGGGCCCCCCAGTGTTTGGGTGTTCCCCAAATCCCTACCCTATCTTTGATGATTTGGGGTTGCATTACATACCATGGTGTGGGAACTGTAGCCGTTGTAGAAGGTAACATAAATGCTGAGAAATATGTTGAAATTATAGATAACAATATTTGGCCAGTTATTGCTCGTCATTTTCCTGATGACCAATACATATTTCAAGATGATAATGCCCCAGTCCATCGGGCTAGAACTGTTCAAGTTTACAAGACAGAAAATAATTTAAAAGGCATGTCATGGCAAGCCCAGAGTCCGGACTTGAACATAATTGAAAATGTGTGGCATAGGCTTAAGAGAGAATTGCAGTGTCGCACCTATCGCATACATTCAAAAGAGGACCTTGCAGCAGCAATTAATGAGGTGTGGACGTCTTTGACGCTTGCATACATAAGACACTTGTATTTAAGCATTCCAAAGAGGATACGTCAAGTTCTTGTGTCTAAGGGGTATATCACAAAATATTAGGTAGGTACATTCAAGTTTCTTTGAAATAGTGCAATTAAAATTGAGTTGTCAAATTGCGACAAGCACGCCGCCATCTCGTTTTTGTCTTCATTTATGGCACAAAGCTGTACCTACGACAATCCATATTAACAAAACATGTATTCGTGAATCACTGTCAACCTGCAATGTTTCACAGGCAGGGCGTTAGTCTAGCAAATCGCAAAAACTTCATGCATTCCCAAGTTGTAAATTGAAGCCCTGGGGCCCAATCCACAGAACGTTCGTAGCGCTACGACATTCGTAAGCCTATGACAAACTATAGAGTTACGACAGGTCGTAACGTTACGAACGCTGTGGAAAGGGACCCTGGAATATTAAAACAGTAAGTTGATATGATACCGTAACAAAATTTGGACCACCATTTGATGTGCAAAGCTACGTCCCTGAGGCGATCCAGCGATCGAACGGAACTACATAACTAAATAACTGTTCGAAATTACGGTCGACCATAACTCAATTACTCATTGCGAAACATGCATATTAACTACAGACGACCATCACATGTGGGCGGTCAGACTATTCGTAACTTCAGTTTGCCTGGACTGTTCTATTTTCGGGAGTGACAGAAATACAAGTTTGCTACATTTCCGGCATTGGGTTCATTTCCCATAAGACAATGACTGATAAAACAGTTTTTTTCTGCACAAACATAAAGACAAAACAGCCTGAGGGTACGACACATGGTACATGTTCATGAATCTTTTAAGAGGCCAGTTCCTCGTCACTTAAGTTTGGAACGTCTAACTGGTTAATCGCATGTGTGCTCACAAATAACATCAGTGTTGCTTGCAGGTGATACTACTTCAGTCAGTACATCAGTAAGTGACCTGAAATCGGAACTGAATGTACGCCTCAACTCGCTCACGAACAAAGAAGAAAAATAGAAAAAAATGAATTTCCTTCTGAAACTCAGCTTGTATAGAAATTGAAATGAACTGACGCCTATAGCAAAATGTGTTACCAGTATAAGATTTATAAGTATTCGTGTGATACACTATTCAAAAGGAGAAACGCATAGGTGATTTTGAGAATAATGTACATTTATATATGCTGCAAAAACAATACAAATTTACTATACGCTACATCTGGGCTGCTCACTTGCGTCATCGTCTTGCCACAGACGTGGAGACTGCACAACGCATCCCTGGTTTCAGAAGGATATCCGACCAAACTGTGAGGAATCGATTGCGCAAAGTGGGGATTCGACCAAGAAGCCCAGTGGTCGCCCGTTTTGAGAGACTTCTTTCGACGCAATCACGTTTTCTTCTTCACTTGCGAGATGGAAGACAGCGTGTTTACCGTAGGAGAAATGAACGTTTTCTCCTACAGGATTCGACACGTCGACAGATTCGGCGGAGAGAGTGTAGTAGTGTGGGCCGCAATATCCAGCACACAAAGATCTGATTAGTGG